AAGAAGACGGGAGCCTCTGCTGCTGCTGCTGCTGCTGCTGCTGCAGCTGCTGCTACAGGTGCTGCTGCAGCTCCGCAAAAGTTGCTGCTGCAGCAAGCGAGGCAACCGTCATGCTGCTGCAGCAAGAGAAGCAAACGCTGTTGCTGCTGCTGCTGCTGTTGTGAAACAAACAAAACCTGTTGCTGCAGCAAACAAACAATTTGCTGCTTCGAGGAGACAAACAGACCTTCTTGCTGCTATTACCCAAAGTGCTTTGCTGCTGCTTGCCTCCGTGCATACACTGCTGCTGCTGCTGCTGCTGCTGATAGCAGCAGCAGCAGCAGCAACACCAAATCAACTGCACTGAAAACGTCAAAAGTAGCAGCAGCAGAAGCAACAAAAACAAAAACAACAGCAGCAGCAGCAACAACAGCAGCACCAGCTGCTGCTGCTGCTGCTGCAACAGCAGCAGCAATTGCTGCAGCTGTAGTGACACCCGAGTGAGCCGCAGCCTCACAGGGTTCGTCTCGACTGGCTATGCTGTTCTTTCTGCTGCTGCTGCTGAGCCGCAGCCTCACAGGGTTCGTCTCGACTGGCTATGCTGTTCTTTCTGCTGCTGCTGCTTCTGCTGCTGCTTCTGTTGCTGTTTCTGCTGCTGCACCTGCTGCTGTTGCTGCCTGTGGAGCTGCATTTGCCGGTGCTGCTGCTGCATGTGCTGCTGTTGCTTCTGCTGTTGCTTCTGCTGCTGCTGCTGCTTGTGGTGCTGGAGCTGCTGCGGCTGTTGCTGCATCTGCTGCTATTGCTGCCTGTGCTGCTGCAGTCGTCGCTGGTGCTGCTGCTGTTGCTACTCCTCTTGATGGTGCTGCTGCAGCGGTTGCTGGCAGGTCTTGTGCAGCAGCAGCAGCAACTGCTGCAGCAGTGACGCGAGCTGCTGCTGCTGCTGCTGCGGCTGCTGGTTGAGGCCGCTGCTGTTCCGTCCTTGCTGTTGCTGCTGCTGTTGCTGCTGTTGCTGCTGTTGCTGCTGTTGCTGCTGCTGCTGCTGCAGCTGCTGGGGCCGTTGCTGCTGGCCAGCGGCTGCTTAACTGCTGCTGCTGCTGCCTCGTTTGCTGCTGCATCTCCCTTTGTGTGTGTCTACCCCTGAATGAATGCACAGTGTTTCTTTTCTGCTGCTGCCTTCTCCGCTGCTGATGCTGCTGCTGCTGATGCTGCTGCTGCTGCCTTTGATCATGTTGCTGCTGCAGCATGTGCTGCCTGGCTTTCTGAGAGGAAGGCCTGGTTCGCCTGTTAGATTTATGTTGCTGCTGCTGCTGCTGCTGCAGATGAAAGAATGTGAGTACAAGCGACTGCCACTTAGCGGAGATATTAAATCCTCTTTCTGCTGCAGTGTTGCAGCGAGCAGCAGCAGCAGCAGCAGCAGCAGCAGGAGCAGCAGCAGCAGCAGGAGATCCTGCAGTACCCCTCTTCTTGCAGTCTCCTCCTCCTGCTCTTCCTCTCCCTTGGTGGTGCTGCTGCTGTTGCGGCTGCTGTTGCTGCTGCTGCTGCAGCAGGAAGCGCCCCACAGTTGCTAGCAGCGGCAGCTCTCTTGTTGCTGCAGTCATTGCTGCTTGTGAACAGTAATAACCTAGATGTGTCCCGACTGTACAGACGCCGAGACAACGAAATAAAGAAATTATATCTTCGCTGTCAGCACTAAGACACGGAGCAACAATAGTGTGCAGCTGAGGCAGCGCTTGCTTCAACAAACTGCTGCTGCTGCTGCTGCTGCTGCTGTTGCTGCTGGAGGAGGAGGAAGCAGCAGCAGCACCTGCTGCAGCTGCAGCAGCAGATTGCTGCTGCACACAACCCATCTTCAATAAAAGAGCTTCAGCAAACGCAAGGAGATCTCCGCAGTGCAGCGAATGACCCCCCAAGACCTGCAGGTTCCTCAGAGGGCTAGGCATGCAAACTCGTGCTGCTGCTGCTGCTGCTGCTGCTGCTGCTGCTGCTGGTGCTGGTGCTGCTTCGGAAGGTGCTGCTGATGGCGGGGATGAGGATGAACCGCAAGAAGACGTCTCTGCTGCTCCTGCTGCTGCTCCTGGTCCTGCTGCAGCTGCTGGAGGTGTTGCTGCAGCAGCGCTGCTTTCTCTTGAAGGCTGAGCAGCAGCAGCAGCAGCAGCAGCAGCAGTAGCGGGCGGCCCAAATCGCCTGGTGTGATTCTGGCAAGGGCGCTGTCGGGAATCCTGTTGCTGCTGCTGCTGCTGCTGCTGCTGCTGTTGCTGCATTAGCAGCAGGTGCTGCTGCTGCTGCTGGTGCTGTATGCCCCCCCTTACAGGATGGAAGTAGGGCCTTTGCTGCTGGTGCTGCTGCTGCTGCTGCTGCAGCAGCAAGGTTTGACCCTTATACCTGGTTGCATCTGCTGGTCTCCCACAGAGGGGGGCTCTATTTGCTGCAGCATCCGCAGCAGCAGCATTCCCAGCAGCAGCAGCAGCTGCTGCTGCAGCTGTTCCCGCTT